CGAAGTCCCAGATCTGTGTGCAACTGCATTCAGTTTGGTAAGATGGCAAGTGATGAGGAAGACGAGGCTTGTGAGGAATGCTGGGCTTCGACACCTGCCATCCTAAGAAGATTAAACTCGAAGCTAGAGCTGATAGAGAGTCACTGAAGGATCCCTAAGTAGAGCAGAGGAATTCTTAGATTTGGTTGTACCTACGGCATGCTGGTGGCAGTCTGGAGGGTAGAATTTAGGTGGGCACGGCTGGATGGGCAAACATTTGGCTCAGGTGAGAGATGAAGGCCCATCTTGGGCAGTTTAAATAGAGATGGAGAAGAGAGAGAGGTTCCAGATCAGGTGTTCAGCAATTAATTGTCCAATCTGGAACTGTTAGTTTGAATAACATACTGCCTACATTCTACCAATAAAATAAAAAAAAATCTTACTAATTTATTTAAAAAACTGTATTTCCTAATCTAGAAAAATAGTGAGAAGAGCAGTATTGTTTTACATTTTTGCAAATCTCTTAAGGTCTGGCTTTATAGAAGATAGGGTCTCATGCCTTTTTCTGCATTTAATTTGTTGCAGTATGTTGTTCTGGTTGAAGTATATGAAGAAAATCTGTCCTCATACAGATATGTAGTTGGAAAAGGAAGAAATGTCTTAATAGTTACTTCAGATAATTGTGGATATCCCTTTTTAATAATATACAAAAGTAAGTGATAGTTCCTTAAAGGGTAAATGCATTGTGGACTCTGAAACCATGTCAGTGGAACTTTTGTACTGATATATTAATATCCGTTGGTCTCTCTGGCACGCTGAATGGATCTTGTACCTAAGTGTGACTTTGTAATGTCTCTCGCATTGTTCATTTGGAAAATGCTAGTTAATTGAGTTATGCAAATTTTCTAAATGTTCCCACCTTTCATTATATAAGATGGAAAAAAATCATACTTGTTAATAACATACCACAATTGACCTCATCAAAAACATCCTGAAAATACTGGGAAGCTCTCAAAGCTCAGGGTGTCAGACAGAAGTCTCCCAAATTCTAATTTTCATTTGAAGGCTTGAGTTTTAACATTGGGAACAAATACTCTCAGTTGTTTCTTGACATGACAGGTTTACTTTGTTCATTAAAAAAATATATCTGACACATACCCAAGTCTGAATAACCACTTTGCCAGTCAAGTAAAATTGGTGATCCATGAAAAATAGTGATTAGGTCAGCTCACAACTCAAACAGCAATTGGTTAGAACAAATGGCCATGTCATAGCATATCATTCAACCTGATAGACCAAATGCCTTTCCAGATAATCACCATAGAATATTAAAGATACATAAAGCATCAAGTTTTAATAGTTAGTAATTGTTACCATTTCATCTGTGACTTTCTTAAGTGAAACTGGCCTCTCTCTTTTTTTCCTTTTTCTGCAAATAGGCAGTGGTGAAGAAAACAATGACTACTAGTTCATTTTGTTGCCATTTGCTTGATTTGTTGTAAGGCATAAAAGTAATGGCAGGTTTACCCACAGTTACTTTTATATCATCAGCGCAAATGTCAACCCAACTGTTCTAGGATAAATGATGAGATTCAAAATACAAAAACAAAAACAAAACAAAACAAAAAACCCCCAAACTTGTATGCTTCAATCACCTCTTGTGTTTGTTGCCAAGCATTCATATAAAAGATCTTTGATGATTAGCGGGGGCTGACACCTGATGAATACAACCAAAATGGCAAGTCCAGACAGGCTGTAGAACTGTCTATCTCTAAGGCAAAAGTGCAGTTCTGCAGAAAAGAGCAGTTTAATGTTTGCAGTTAAATCCTATGACATTGGAAAGTGGCAGCACCATGGTTTCTTTTGCTGACTTCTCATCTAGAAGGCATTCAGCAAGATCAATTCTACCAGGCTTTCTTATTCTCTCACCTGTGATGTTGATTTCTACAGCCAATGCAGTACAATAACTTACCCTGTAAGATACTTCACTGGCTTTTTCTCCTTAAGTTTGAAAAGCTGCATCAAATAATTTTTGGCTTCTCAAAAGTTCGTTACACCTACATTTAAAAAGTCAATTCCTTTTTTAAAACTCTGAATGGTTGGTTTCAGAACGGTATTACAGCTTAACTGGTGCTATAATACTCTGCAGAAATGTTCTATTGTATAAGACACAATAAGGTAAATTATTAACATCTATAAAGCCAAGGGAAAGATAGTGTCATCATATTTTTATTTTTTATTTACAGTTCCTTCCAATTGCTTTGGAATTGCTTTCTTCTTTCCACTAGTCAGGGAACTCTCTGATGTGTCGTTCTCATCTTTTTCTGTCTCTTTAGATGTAGACAGTGCATCTGAGCCTTGAAATAATGAGTCTTCTGATTTCCCTCTTTAAAGCAAGAGATTGGGCTCCAGCCACAGGCAGATAAGGATTTTAAGCTCTTCCATCTATGATGACCAGTGTAAATTGGGCAAATTCTTAGGGCCCATTTTCCGAATACTGTTTTTGTGGTTCGGAATCTGGGAGTAGCTTTGGAGGGGGTGTTTCTAACTCATGGTTACTCATCCAATTACCTTCAAGATGTTGGTCAGGGCTGCGGTCATCTGAAGCCTGGACATGGAGCTGGAGGATCAGCTTTCAAAATGGCTCACCCACATGGCTGGCAAGTTGGTGCTGGCCGTTGGCCTCAGTGGACTTTTCCAGAGAATCCTCATAACATGCTTGGCTGTCTCCACAGAGTGGATGTTCTACCATATTTGATTAGAACAATGGCAGTGTCCTATCACTCAACCAACAGACCAAACTGAGTTTCTATTTCAACACTTAAATGAAGCAAAGGACATTTAAAATTTATTTTTGTAGTGCTATTAACAGTCATTCTTGACTGTGTATTGAGGGTTGTGGTCTTTTTAAACAGTATGATTGCTTTGACATTTCATAGAAAACTTTAGTTTGAAACATTAATCTGCTGACCATATTTATCTATATTAAGTTCTCCAGAAGCTATGATTTTGAAGTTTGAATTTTTATATACCAAGTGAAACAGCAAATAATTTTAGGGGAGGATTTATTTTGGAAAAAAAATTTCCATGAATTTATTTTGATGGCCATCTAAGGCCTTTATTATACATAAAATATGTTAGTAGGGAGGGAAAAAAATCCAAATAGATTTTATCAAGAAAGCCCAATATCTCATTTGGAGTATCTTTTAAGAGATTTTGGTTTCTGAGGAACTACAATTACTGGAGCCTTCTATTTTCTGCAGATACATCAAGGGAGTTGCTTCCTTTCTATTTTTTAAAAAAATTTACCAAACCCCAAAAATTAGCAGGAGGAAGAGGTGGCAAGAAGTTTCTGGGGCAACACAACACTTGTGAAAAACTAGGAAATACTTACTTTGAAACACCCGCTGGGGTCTTATACCACCTATTAATACTGAGTAACAATTAAGCTCATTGTCTCCCTCCTTTCCCTCCCTCACTTCTTCCCCCTAAGACCCTAACATTCTACTTCTGATATCCCTGGAATCTGAGGCTGGCATCCCTATTTGCATAGTCATCCTGCCCCAAACCATAGCCTGACTGGGGACTCCTTCATTGCTGCCTACCTCCAGCCGGGTCAGACCTGTGCATTCTGCCCTAGCAATGCTGCCCAGCCTTGTTTTCTTTCCATTTACTTTCCTCTTTCCTGCTGCCTCTGTCCCAGGGTCAGGTCACTTCTCTCCTGGCCTGGTTTCTGATGGCCTCTGGGCCCCTCAGTCTCATCTCCTCTGAGCAGCTCCAGATTAATTTTGCCTGACTCAGATTCTTTCATGTTCACTCAGTGTTTATTAAACAAAGACCTAGTATCTCAGCCTGTCACTGGAGGTGCTCCACCCGAAGGCACCAAGTTACCTTTTACATTTAATGTTATCGTCTTCCCTTTGACTATCCTAAAATGGGCTGTAAACTTTTATCCAGCTCTTTTTAAAATTCTTTGCTCTTGCTGTTCCCTCTTCCTATAAATACGGTGGGTGGAAATCCCACCCATCCTTTTCAGCCTGTCTCAAATGCCACCTTCTCTGCAAAGATATGCCTTATGGCCTCATCTTTCCCTCCACTGGACGTTGTCTTTCTTTTTAGGATACTCACTGAACTTTGCACCCCTCCTATTTATTCATAATTGATTTCTTTTAATACAGTATGTGCGTACTTACTTTATCATTCTTACAAGATTATAATGTACTCGAAAGGACAGACATAGTCATGTTTTCAATCATGTTTTGTTCCTGCTAACTCCTAGCCACGGTTTTAGCAAGTAATAGGACAATTTAAAAATTGTGTAACTCCATGAAAAAAAGTACTTAAGACAGGAAACAGCGAAATTCCTGTGTTTATCCGACAGTGTAAAGTTATGCAGAATAAAGAAAATACATATATGTAAATACAGACACATACAGGTATTTTATTATTTGGCTAAGACGGCTTTGTCCCGGTATTGAAGGATACAGGGGTGTAGGGCACCGTTTTTCATTCCTGGGAGGGAGACACACACACACACACACGCACACGTCGTTGCCCAGAATGTAATTTGAAGACAGAAAAACGGCTTCAACATCTCTTCCAATTTTGGACCTGGTCAAAAGGAACGCTGGCAAGCGCTTACTAAGTTAAGAGGAGACGGGCCCTTAAGAACCTTCCAGAGACGCCTTGGCTGGGGTTGGCAAGAAGCTCCCCGCCAGGGCGGCCAAAGGGATGCGTGGCGCGCACCTTTCAGCGCTTCCTACTCGGCGGAACCAGGCCGACCAGTTCCCACCGCTGCCTCCCCGCCTCCTCGCCGCCCTCTGCGGGCCGAGCCCCACCCCGCGCGCACTCTTCCCGGGTGCCCAGGCCGGAGTGCGCCCAGGCAGGGCGGGCCCCGGCATCTCCCGGCGGGCGACCGGGCCGGGGACCGGGAGGCCACGCCGTGTCGGGGTTTCTAGGTGAAGGGCGAGAAAACAACCGGCCGGTCTGGGCGGAGCCGGGCGGGCGGGGCGAGGGCGGAGGACATATTGCCTCATCCTGTACATTTTACTGGAAACGGGGCGCATCCGGAGGAGGGGCCGGGAGGCCGCCCAGACGCCGCCAATGGCCCGGCCGGGCGCGGTGGAGGCCGCCGAGGCGGGGGCCCCTTCTCCCCGCCCCTGGCTTCGAAGGCCGGTTTAAATAGTCGTGCAGCCCCGGCCCGCGCCCGTGCCCGCGCCGTCCTCCCGCCGGTAGGTCCCTGAGTCCATCGCAGCCACAGCCGCAGCCGGGAGGCAGCCGCGCGCAGCAAGCCGGTGGCACAGGTGTTGGGGTCCCGGAGCGCCTAGCCCGGGAGCATGATCGTGGACAAACTGCTGGACGACAGCCGCGGCGGAGAGGGGCTGCTGGACGCGGTCGGCGACTGCGGCCTCATGACCAGCCCGCTCAACCTGGCCTACTTCTACAACGCGTCGCCGCCCGCCGCCGCCCCCGGCGCTGCGACGCCAGCTGCTCGTCGTCTGGGCCCTCGGCGCCCGGCTCGCCCGGCTCCGACTCCTCCGACTTCTCCTCCGTCTCGTCCGCGTCCTCCTGCGGGGCGGTCGAGTCGCGGCCGAGAGGCGGCGCCCGTTCCGAGCGGCTGCAAGGTACCCCCCCACCCCGGGCGGGGGCGGCCCTCACGGAGGGGACGGGGGTCTGTGCCGCCCAGATGTGAAGTGCTTCGGCCAGATGCGCCCGCCTTACGGCTAAACATCACACTAGCCATCAATATTAGGTCGCGACCGGACGCCGGCCCTGTGCTGGGCGTGTGATAGCCCTCAGTGCCCCTTGACCGTCTGAGTCCGGGGCGCCATCAGCTGCCCTCGTAGCTTGAAACGCACAGTTCTGACTTCTGGGGAGGGGGCGGGAATGGCCCACGTTCGATTTTCTCTTTTCTTGTTTCTTGTTTTAAAAACCACCTTTATTAAGTTATCAATCACAGACTGTGGCGAGATTTTGCATCTGAAGTAGGGGTAACTTTTTCTTGTGGCTGTTTTAGTGAAAGGCTGTAGCTGGCCATAAGGGTTTCAAGTACTGTTTGAAGTCATGATTTATTTCTTCTTAAGTAGGTACTTGTGGAAATTTTAAATAAAACGACTTTATCTTAAAAGAAAGGAAACCGATATTATCAAGATGTAAGGTGAAGCTGGACTGAAAACCAGTTTACACCTTAAGTTTGTGATTTTTCCGAAGTCTGCCCAGAATTTCTGCGGTCTTTTTTTCTGTTTTATGTACTTTAGAATGGTTAGGCCGTATCTGACAAGGAAAAAGTGTAGCGTTTCCTTTATTCGGCTGTGAATTGTTAGTTTCTTTTCTTAATGAACTGAGTGGCATAATTGGGAAAAACAGGATGCCACTGTGGGTAAGAACGTTTAGATAATCTCAAATGTTGGAAAATCTAATTAGAGTGATTTTAAAGAACGTTCTCTTTCGGGTATTCCCCACTGCTAAGCCACTCTCGTTTTGGTTATGTTTTATTTTAAAATGCGATTTTTCACTTTCATTTAAAAAGGTGGTTTAAACCAGTCAGTTGTACAACACACTCTCTGTATATTAAACGTGTAGCAAATACAAAAATTGTGTATATGTGGGTGTGTACTTAAAACGTTTTTTTCCTCCACATTTGGCCTTTATCTGGCCGAAAGTATTTTGCTAGTTCTTTGGTTTACTGTAGGGGATTTCTGAAACTGCATTTTTCTCTGTGACATTGAATTATTAAATAGCTGTCATTCCCGAGAAATGCTGTGTTAGATTCTGGCAAGATATTCCTAAACTTAAACAGAAAACCAACTAGTTGTTTAATTTGCCCTATCATTGAGTTGCTTCTGTCATATATTAATGATATATATGTTCAAATTATGCCTTGTTGTTTTGGCCCATCTTAGCTTTTCCCCTCTCAAAGGAGTTGCTGAATTATTCATTTCCTGACTCTTTGTGTGTTTACTTTGTGCTCAACTTGTCCCGAGAGGTTGTGACACAGTAGTGGTCAGAGTGGAATGCTGCACTACTCATTGACTCCATTTTGAAGTGTATTTTAAAGCTTCAATATGAAAGAAGATTATTTCCTTTTTACTTAGAAGGCCTATGTGAGCAATTCCAAAAGCAGTCGGTGAGGGGAAATCCTGTGTGTGTATGCGGAAATGTGTTAAGCTCAGTGAATTTAAGCAGCTTTCTTGGCATAGCTGAACTGAGGGAACTAATAAGAAACTAACACATTGTTCATTGTTAGGCTGTGGTACTTTGAGATCTTTGGAAGTTTGTTTTGTGCCTTCTTAGGTGAGTGGAATTGATAGACTTTAAAATTTCTCTGTGGACATAAAGCCTTTGGTTTGAAAAGCTAAAAGTTCATCATTTATCCCTTGCTCCCCCCAAGGTTTTTCAAATGTCAAGAATAATTATAGATTTATGAGAGTTAGCGTGGCAAAATCTATGATCCTGTCTCGTGGGTGGATGGGGCTGAGAGACAGAGACTTAATTTGGGTTTAACTGTTGGCTCTGGGGACCCCCCAAACCGTGTTTTTATGAGCTTTAATTCCTTACGGTGCCTGCTGAGAAAAGGTTTTGAGGCAACATCATCCCCTTAAGTAGGGCTGAGGCCTGACGGGCAAGGTCAAGTTGGAAAGACTTTGCAGTCTGTTGGTCGGAGACTTTGTTACGTTAGACGGCTATGCTTTTGAGGTTATTAAGATTGGTGTCCATGAAGAGACTTAATTGAAATACGTTTTTGTTTTCTTTTGAACAGTTGAGCCCCATATGGGGGTTGGAAGGCAGCAAAGAGGACCCTTTCAAGGTGTTCGTGTGAAGAACTCAGTGAAGGAACTCCTGCTGCACATCCGAAGTCATAAACAGAAGGCCTCTGGCCAAGCCAGTGATGACTTCAAGGTGGCACCTAACTTTTTTGTTTTGGGTTGGGGATCAGGGAGGTTAGTCTGTCAGGATTATTACTCTCTGCTCACGTAGGTCCAGTAAGTCTTTTGTAGACCAGAAAGAGAGCCTGTTTGTTTTCCTGTCTCCAATATTCCTGTCACTTAGCTAGGTACTTGGCAGATGTGCAAGAGAAATTTAATGAATGAATAAGTGAAGGCAAGTTGGGGACAAGGGGATTAATAGGATTCAATTAAAACAGAGCATTTTTATTAGAAAGGGGAAACTCAAAGGGCCTTATTAATTTTGAACTAAGATGAAAAGTGAAAATAGGGGAAGTTGCAAGATAGGATGGAAATTAACATAGAAAATAAATATTGCTAGAATAGCTGTATCAAGGTTTATGGTGAGCTATAAAGAATGGTAGCGATAAGTCTATTTATTGGTATATATTAATCAGGAAACCATTTAATATAACTAAATTGGAAACTTTTTTTCCTTATAGACACAGAGTGTGAACAGAGAGCAATTCACAGGTAAGAGTTACTTCTATTTATAATATTATGGGGGCTTTCGGGTAAAATAATGTAGTTTGACTATGGGTAAAAATTTGTAAAATAAAATGCTCACAGATTTCATTTCTTCTTCCTGGGTACAGAATTGAAGAACACAGTATCATACAGTGGAAAAAGGAAAGGACCTGACTCACTGTCTGATGGACCAGTTTGCAAAAGATCAGTTTTGTTACATACCCAGTTTTTGGTATGTATTTAACTGTTTTCTTCTGGTTGCCCTTTGGCAGTTATTTCTGGAATGATTTTGGAAGGGAGTATGCAATTTACTTTTCCTGCCTTTCCAGACACCACCTCAAACACCCACACCCGCAGAGAGCATGGAAGATGTTCATCACAATGAATCCAAACAGGACAGCAGTGCCGATCTGCTTCAGAACATTATCAACATTAAGAATGAATGTAGCCCGGTGTCCCTGAATACTGTCCAAGTTAGCTGGATGAGCCCTGTGGGGGTCCCTCAGAGCTCCCCCCACGAGCAGTGTCAGGACTTCCACGGAGGGCAGGTCTTCTCTCCGCCTCAGAAATACCAGCCGTTCCAAGTCAGCAGCTCCCCGCACATGGTGGAGCAGGCTGCCATGTACCAGTACTCCCCACAGAGCCAGACCGTGCAGCCGCCGCCGCAGCACTACACCCACAACCCGACTCTGGAATACAGTCCTTATTCCAGAACGTCCCTGTCCCCCAGCTACGAACCAAACTTCTTTGATGATCAAGAACCACAGTTCTGCCTGAACCAAAGTTTTGCGTCCCTTCTAAGTGATCCCAGGGAATCTGAGAGTATCACTGTTCCCACTCAGACCTCCCCCACTGTTCAGCAGCCAAATGATGTGCCCCTACAAAACTTCCACATGATGCCGCACGGTGCGTGTGAGGCCCTGGCGGGGCACGGTGCCACCCCTGCCCCTTTAAGCATGGCACTGCCGTTCCAGAATGTCGTTGGAAATCCAATGAACACCACACAGTTAGGAAAGTCATTTTTCCAGTGGCAAGTGGAGCAGGAGGAAAGCAAATTGGCGAATATCTCCCAAGACCAGTTTCTTTCCAAGGATGCAGATGGTGACACGTAAGTATCCCTTTATCTCATTACCTTATTTGGTAAGCCATCCTTGTTGGACAGAGTGGGCACAGATTTTCTCTAGGCTCTGCCAAATTAGGTCTTAGTAAGAGGTTGGCTAATCAAGATGACTGGTGGAGGCAGAAGCTGCTGTTCAGTGATGGCTAATATTTTATGAAAGAGTTTTTGTTTCTTTTTTCTTTTCTTGCTGAATGACTTATCTGTTCTAAATTAATAAAATATATATGTGTCTTTGAATAATTGGTTTTGAAAGACCAGCTTGGATTGTGTCTATGGAGCAAAATCAGTTAGATCATGATTAGTTGGTTGTGGTTAAAGTGTGAGTTGGTTTGTAGATTGAGTCCTGATCTGTGCTAACATCTTTATGGCCTTGGGCAAGTTGTTTAACCTCTCTATGCCTCAGTTTCTGGACATGCAAAATGATACTACCTCCCTTATAGAGTTTTTATAAATATTAAAAATAATAGACTTAAAGCAGTCAGCATGGTGCCTGGCATACTCACTTCTTCTGGTAGCCTAGCTTATCTTGTCACAACTGGCAGAAAAGACAAATTATGCTCTGTACTGTTTCACTTGAGTACACCCACATACCAAGAAAGGGGCTAAAGGAAGAAATTTTTTTTACAAGAAGGATGAACTTAGTGAAATTAGAAGCAATTCACCTCTTTTCCTTCTCTTTTTCCCCAGGTTCCTCCACATTGCTGTTGCCCAAGGGAGAAGGGCACTTTCCTATGTCCTTGCAAGAAAGATGAATGCTCTTCACATGCTGGATATTAAAGAACACAATGGGCAGGTGAGGAACTTGACAGGGAAACAGCAAAGGTGTGGTCATGGCGAAGAAATGACGGCTAGTCTCATATTTATGTGTAGGTCATTTCAGAGTTCTAGATCAAGAGAGTTCAGTTAATATTAACTTCAGGATGTTGACTCTTTGTCACTGTCAACCTTGAAGTTATTAACATTAACTTTGTAGTTATTTGATCAAAGACCAACTGAGTATAATAAAGCCGCACCCTAAGCTTTTTAGTTTCCTTGTGTTACAAGGTCTTATTGCTTATTAATAGGGTTTATTTTCTCTACAAGGATTTTCCTCTCAATCTTAGCTTAGGTTCATGTTCCTTGTTATGATAGTGTTACATGTTTTTAAAAATATTTTTTTTCCTCTGAATGTCCACAGAGTGCCTTTCAGGTGGCAGTGGCTGCCAATCAGCACCTCATTGTGCAGGATCTGGTGAACCTCGGGGCCCAGGTGAACACCACTGACTGCTGGGGCAGAACCCCTGTGCACGTTTGTGCAGAGAAGGGCCACTCCCAGGTGCTCCAGGTAAGAGGCAGAGAGCCAGGGTCCCATTATCATAGGGCCAGAGGGATAGGGCGTGGAGATTAGAAGTCCAATGTAGGTTGCCTGTTGCAGTAATCTCTTTTGAGTTGACTTACTCCTTTTCTGGAATACTTGTAGATGAGTATTTGTGCAGCTTGCCTTTTGCTAACAGATATGTGTTTTTAACTTCTGCAGGCAATTCAGAAGGGAGCAGTGAAGAGCCATCAGTTCGTGGATCTTGAGGCAACTAACTATGATGGTAAGCAATTGACACATTCATTTTTTGGGTGAAGAAATATTCAGAGAGAGGGGCCCATTAGTTGTAAGGGTATTAAGTTCTATACCAAGAAGGAAGAGAGGTGTAATTCAAGCTAAAATACTTTATAGATAGAGTTAGCACTAATACCCACTGGAGGGGTTACTCAGATTGCTTTACTGCTTCATGCGGAGCCCACGTGTACATCACATGAGAGGCCATCCTCAAGGCTTGTAGTTATAGAGCAACTGAAAGACTCGATGGGATGCTTGACCGCTGCTTTATTATACTTTTTCTAGGCCTGACTCCTCTGCACTGTGCAGTTTTGGCCCACAATGCTGTGGTGCACGAACTCCAGAGAAATCAGCAGCCGCATTCACCTGAAGTTCAGGAGCTTTTACTGAAGAATAAGAGTCTCGTTGAAACCATTAAGTGTCTGATTCAAATGGGAGCAGCAGTGGAAGCCAAGGTAAATTCACAGAAGGGTTTGGAAATGGGATGTAGGGGAGAAGTGGCTATAGCAAAAGGTCATGTTCCCAAGTATAGGTTAAAACTTTTCCCTCTTTTTAAATTAATGGAGTGAATAGTAATGTATAGCTAGTTCAGAAGCTTAAATTTTAAAAGATCATCTCATCTGCTTTTTTGATTCGCTTTTGGATTATTATCCCAAAGATCATTTAGCTGTGAAATAATTTACTCTTTGTTTGAAAGGAAATGGAAATGCTTGAAAACTGATATTTTCATTTTGGCTTTCACTGTTATACATGGATAATTAAGGTAGTGCTTTTTGTAAGGATTTCTTCATTGTTGTGGCATCTGGACTTAATCTTCTGTTTTTTAAACTGGAAAAGATTTTATTCTCTTTAAGTTTGAGCTTTATTTACTGAGTATCACCTATAGACAAGGTGCTGAGTTAGTGGCTCTGGGGCAAAAATGCCTAAATCATAAGCAACTTGGGTCCTTGGGGAGCTTACTGTCCAACAGAAGAGGTGAGAGATACAGCTTGTTATAAGTTACAGTGGCCACCAAGTTTGGAAACACAGGTGAATCCATAATAAGTGATTTCTTGTATTATGTTACAGTACATAATAAAACAGTATCATCGATGCTTCTGCATTTTATGACCACCCTGTATACAGGGTAGATGTGATAAGAGGCATATTAACAGGGAATTTAGGAGGAATGAGAGATTCCATGGAGCTTGGGGTGAAGGAAGGCTTTGTGGAGAAGGGAGTATTCAGAGTGAGTCTGCAAGGATGAGTCAGACATGTGAGAGACGGCGAGTGTGGTGTCTGAGCATTCACTTCTCTCTCCCTCTTGCCTTGACAAGGATCGTAAAAGTGGCCGCACAGCCCTGCATTTGGCAGCTGAAGAAGCAAATCTGGAACTCATTCGCCTCTTTTTGGAATTGCCTAGTTGCCTGTCTTTTGTGAACACAAAGGTACTTTTAGAAAGATTCAAGAACAGAACGAGAGTTGGGGTGACCTTCTTTATACCTTATTCAAGCTTTTGAGCTGCTTTCATGAAAGTCTTCCTTCCTGATGGGTGTCATTTCATCTCTTGGTCTTCAGGCTTACAATGGAAACACTGCCCTCCATGTCGCTGCCAGTCTGCAGTATCGGGTGACGCAGCTGGATGCCGTCCGCCTGCTGATGAGGAAGGGGGCAGACCCAAGCACTCGGAACCTGGAGAACGAACAGCCAGTGCACTTGGTTCCTGATGGCCCTGTGGGAGAACAGGTGAGGGCCACAAAAGGGAGAAGAAATACTTTCAGGCACTTGGTCAGAAACTTAAGGGGCAATGAGATTGTGCAGGGTGGAGGCCAGCTGGTGGTGCTCTTCAGGTGGGCTCTGTCAGTGTCTGTATCTCACAGTGGTCACTGTAGCCCTTTGGGGTCAATTGCTTTGTTTCCAAAAGAAGATGTAAAAATTTGAGGGTTTATCCCTGAACCCCGAATGGTCAGAAGTCAGGTAGTCTTTTCTTTTCTACGAGACATAAACTTGGGTTTGGAATAAGTCAGAATGGTTTGAAGTCTGGAAGTGGTTGAAAGAGGAGGAACCAAGGTTCCTGCAGACACCAAGGAAAGGGAATCTTAGTTTTGTGAGTAAGTGATGAGCCTTCAAGTATTGTGGGTATTAAATGAGTCAGTATCTGCCGAGAGTTCAGAATAGTCCCAGGCATGTAGTGAGTGCTCAGTAAATATCAGCTGTTAACAAGGATTTCTGGCTACTAGCCGATACCAGATAAGAAATAGGAAGGTTAAAAAAAAAAAAGAAATAGGAAGGTTACTTATGTAATTGAGAACCTAGGAATATTTTATATTTTAAATAAAATTGTGCTTTACATATCATATGGTTATATATTACATTTAGGGATTAAACAGTTTCACATGACTAAGCTTTTCTTGATAACAAGAACTGAATCCTTTAAGAACTTAAAATATTTTTGATGAAACTCTTCTCCTGGAGGGATTGTGGCTGTGGGTCATTGCATACTTTAATAATCACAAAATAAAACATATGGAATGCAATTCAGCCTTTCCTTTGATTTATAACCCGCATTATGACTGTAATGTTATAGTAACTCACATTTCTAGAGCTCTTTATAGCTTAAAATGAATCTCTTGATAATCTGTAGAGTTTTCCTGTGTATTATACTGCTTAATAGTTAGGAAAACTTCATAGTGTAAAGGTTCAGCTGGGAAGACTGAGACTCAGAGTGGTTCCAGAGGGTAGGAACCATCCTTAAGGAGTAAATGGCGAGTCCTAAGCCCAGTGTTCACTTCTGCTTCGCTGTTTGTGGTGTGCAGTCACAGAGCAATGTTCTCAGGGACTACTGAGTGTGGAGAGCTGTTTGACTCTTCACTAAATATTCTCACATTACTTGCCTTTCTGCTTCTGTATTTGTGTGTCTCTGTGTGTGGAGGGAGGGGCTTTTCCTTTGCTTTTATCATCAGACAATGGTCATTCTAGCAGCTATCAGTTGCATCTCCCACTCCAGTCGTCTTTCTTCTAATCTGTTGCTTCGGGTCTGCTGTGGGCTGAGAGACAGATAGTAAAATTTGTCAGGCTCGGGTATAAAATCAGTTAATAGACTGAATGAGCCTGAAGGCTTTCCTATGATCCACATAGTTATACACAGATGCTTTAATTCTTGGATGTCATGACAGCTATCTTGACTCGAAGGGCATTATAGATTTACTTGGGAGTGTAAGGTGGGTTCTGAGTTCTTGGTTGAGGTTGACTTCAGGGTAGGTGAGATACTATAATAACCACAGCTACTGCCTTATATTAAATGTTCTCATAAATAACAAGAGGAAAGATTCGGAAAAGAATATAGGTCTTAGTCAAACTGTGGGAGATTTTCAACTTCAGATAATTTTTAATGGAGATGCTTTACTTTCTTGTACTCAAACATCATTGTAGGAGATCTGTAATAAAATTTAAAGGAATTATAGTCTTTTTTAAAAAATCACCCTAAAATCTTGACATACATTGTTGCGTATTTCTTCATATATTTACTTACAAGTAGACAGGAATGGTGTAGAGTTTATATACTCTACACCATTTCTTACATGAAAGGAAAGAAACTGAAGGAAATGTGGTACTTTGATTGTGAAACAGATACCTCACAGATGCTGTTGGTTTCCTTTCCAGATCCGCCGTATCCTGAAGGGGAAGTCCATTCAGCAGAGAGCCCCACCGCACTAGCTCCACTGACTTGGAGCCTGCTCGGCAATACTCACTGTCAGTTAGGCAGTCCTAATGTATCTGTACATAGACCATTTGCTCTGTATTGGCAAATGTAAGTTGTTTCTATGAAACAAACATATTTAGTTCACTATTGTATAGTGGGTTATGTTAAAAGAAAAGAAGAGGAATATCTAATTCCTCTTGGCAGATTTCAATATTTCACATCCAGGTATCTGGAATCTAGACATCTGAATTTAATCTGAACGGTAAAATTGACTTCAGTTAGCAGTAGCTTTTTGGGTAGGAAAAGGCTTTGATTTGTGGCATAAGGCATTGCTCATGTAGCTATTGCCAGTTTAAAAGGAGACAGATTGTAAGCTTTTTTACATTTTAAAGAAAAATGAAAGCATTTGAAAGTTAAAAAATACATCTGGATATAGTGTTGAGGCTTCGTTTGGCCTGATGCAGTACCTGAGAGTTATTGTTGGTGGTGGAAAGTCTGGTCATTGGACTAGATGAAAGGTACCATGGTTAAAGTTTGATCTTTGCAAACTGTACATAACTGTTATTTTTGTCTTTTAAAATATTTGTACATATATGGTCATTAACACAAATGGCCACATTTGAAATGTGTAAATCAATAAAATAGAGAACAAGTGAATTGTCACTATTCTTAAAAAGTTACACATGCAGAGGAGCTGTGTAATCACCCATCTACCATCTCTGTAGGTGAGACAGATGGGGAGTTGTTCCCTTAGTGGCTGGCAGAGCTCTGTTTGAATTATAAACATGCTTCTTCTCATGCATTGAGATGAGACATCTGATTTGCAGGGAATTGCATGCTGTTAAAGAGAATACCTCTTTATGACTCACTTTCTAGAATTTGTGACTTAACTTGCTCTGTTGGAGTTTTTGTTTTACCTTTATAGCAACAACAAAAAGTCACTATTGAAACATGTCTTCTTGGGTTTCTGTTCTCAAATAATGATAAGGCACCATGATGTTTTATGCTACCATTCAGAAAAAAGTCTTATTTTTTAGTAGCGTTAATCCCATTAATATTATTTTGCTCTGGCATCCCCTGAGTAATATATTTGGCTTTGATTGCACATTAATTATTTGTAATATATTTGATTCATTAATTTTTTTTAAATGAGAAGTCTTGTAAGCAACTGACTGACTAATCATCTTTGTAGCTAAGTACTCAAATCCTTTTAAAAAAGATAACCTTTGGATCGATCACATTGTTTGACCCTGTATGTCTTGTGGACAAAAATTAGTTATAGTTATTTGGTATCTGAAAGTATGGCTGTGATGTGAACCAGTCTATTCACACTTATGGAAAAACTTATGCATGGTTTTAAATAAACATTAATTCATTGATATTGTTTGTCTTAAAGATGTGCATTTTCTTTCTCTAGTACTTTATTTATATTTCCCAAGGTGGAAAAGTACCATTAATTACTAATCTAAAAAACTTTAAATTAGCCAGTATATATTAATTTGGATTTTTTTTGAGAACATGTTTCCTGAAGTTCTTTAAGAGTTAACATTAAAACACCCTTTGCCAAGTTCATTAGTAGAGATTTATTAGATTCTGAAAATATTGTGGAAGTTTGAAAGATATTGTTTATTATTTAGAATTTTATGTGCTAAAAAAAGCTAAGTCTCTATGTTTATGACTTTACTTTTCACACTTTATTTTGTGGGCACAGTGAACATAGGGAAAACAATTTGGAGATTACCAGGATCATCCTGAGAGATGTAAGCCTGGGAACAGCAGGAAATGGGGTCCTTCCCTTTCCCACGATGCCAGACACATCAACATCTCTGTCAACATGAGTCAACTACTGCTCATATATTCTAGTTCTTGTAACCTCTTTTGAGAATCTGGTGAAAGCTGTGAATCGTTTCCCTGGAGAAATTCACCTGTCTCTATATACACAAATGCTGTTTACAGTATTAGGGGCTTCACAGCCACCAGGAGCCCTTAACTCTCAAGTTAAGAATCTACTGTAGTTCTATTTCTCTACACCAAATGTAATTTTTCTTCCTTCATATAAATGAAATCTCAAGAGTAATTTGCATTGCAAATAACAGCCTGATAAACAGAACAGTAGATATACTGAGCATAGATACACTGTGCATAGATATACTGTGAGCTTTTTCTGAAGTGAGTGTGTACATTCTCTTAATTCCACATTCCCTCATAATTAAGTAATTGAAACAGTGCTTAGCAAGCATGTGATGTTATGTGTGTGTGTATTTGTGCAAAGCTGCCTGATAATCTGAGTCATTCAAGGCATATTTCTTACCCTTCAGGTACATAAGTGGGAGACACGGCATGCACTTTATTAGATGTCATAAAAAAGGAGGGAGAATTACAAAGATTGAGAAGAGGAAGACTATATATCTGAATGGGGAGAACTAGGGAGACTTCAGGGTAGAGCATTTGAGCTGTATCTTCAGAGAGTTGATTTGAATGTTCATACAAGGGGAGAGGGAGGTGAATGAAACCAAATAAACCAAGGCAATAGTAGCAAAAGTATTTTGGGAGAAGCACAAGTGATACAGTGAAGCTTGGTTAGCATCTGGGTGACCAATAAGTTTCATCCTGTGTTCTGCCTCTAACTGGTAATACCCTCATGAGTCTCATGTTGAGAAAGACCTTCAAGCAGTCAAGGGGCTTGGCAGGAGAGAGTGCTGTAATTGATTAGCGATATCTGCCATACAGGTATGGGGTAATGCCTGATGGAATGTTCCTTAAAGAATGACCCCCACAGAAGCCAAGACTACCAGCTCATTGCTGAAAACTCAGTGCCCAGCACAGTGCCTGGCATACAGTAGGAGTTTATAAAGTGGATCAGTTAAATGAGTGAATGAATGTGTGCTAATCCTGGTTGGGATCATTGGTTTTGGAGGGAAGTGGTGTTTTGGGCTACAGATAGACTAGAAAATACTAATGAGTTAATGACTATCATAGCTCTGAACTTAACTCAGCCATATAATTTAACAATGATATCAATGATATGTTGATGCAGAATGGTATAGTTGTACTCTTTCTTAAAAAATCAGGCAGTCATTCTGTGCAAAGAATTCATTCTAGTACTGTAGTTTGGTGCTTCACCAAGGAATTCCCTCAAGTGTCAGAGGCCCTATCTTTCAGCTCTATTTGTTAATCAAATCAGTAGCATTTATTATCCTTTCTATTTTTGACTTAATCAGGAATGGAGAATTTCCTCAAACTCCTCTAACCTTTAATAAATGTCAACTTCTTAAACTCAGTACTGCTCACTTCCATTTTCTGATACTATCAGTTCTGTATTGAATGTGACTCCAGGAAGAAAGCAACTTCAGCCACTGGCTAAGTTCTTGTTGGTCTCTCTGAGACCAGGCTTGGGTACAAACTTTTAGATTCCTACTGGGTCTTTGGTTTTCCTGCTAGTGCCCTGAATTTGTCCTTGAGAGGTGGGGAGTGACTGTCTTTTTCTTTATCAGAGGCTCCACATCTCTCCCAGTATCTGACACATAGTAGATGTTCAATGAATACATCTTACATTGAATTTAATTCTATGGCTTCCTTTTTAATTTATATTTTCTCAGTGTATATTATACTTCAATTTATTAACATTGTATCATTCACATGGAATTTACAGTTTCATCCAGAAAGACTTTTTTTTTAGAGACTTGTGATTTTATTTAATTTTACTTTATTTTGTTTCATTTTTATTTAAGTACAGTCAATTATAATGTGTCACTTTCTGGTGTGCAGTACAATGTCCCAGTTGTGCATATACATACATTTATTTGTTTTCATATTTCATCCAGAAAGACTTTTATCTTCAGCTATACACCAAGTCTGGGTTCACTTAATTTTCTCAGCGCCCTCACTCCACCTTTGGAGTGGGCTATGATTTAATCCCTGCATATACCAGAAAGATTGCACAGGTGGCCCATTTCCAGGAGGACTACGTGGAGATTGCTCTCAAAGTGTGTCTAACTTCCTTATGGGTGTTTTTTGTCCTCCAACCCCATGTTCCCTGCTCTTCTGTGACACTATTCCCTTTCTTATCAGTGCAAGAGGATTTGGGGGTGAGAGCAGCCAGACAGCTGGTCTAACTGCTAAGGGCCTTAGGTTCAAACTCTCAGGCTTTCATGGACACCAGCATCTTTTGTGAAGCTTGTTAATCATGCCAATGCCTTTGCCCCACTCCTAAAATTCTAAATCATTATCTTCGGGGTTTTTAGGGCTTCCGGCAAGTACCTGTGAAGATGATTCTAGTGCACAGTGTAGTCTACTTTAATTAAGGAATGCAGATTGTCAGTAGTAACGGAATGGGTTGCTGGAGCCCATGGAGATGAGGCAGCAAACTGATGAGTGCCTGCTGTGTGCTAGACGTGTTAGATCTCGTGCTACAGAAACTAGCTTTGAAGGAGAGATCAGGAGTCACCTAAACTGTTTTTTTTCTTTTTCTTTTAGAAAATACTTTGAGGTTATCTGATTCTTAATCCTCAGGTATATTAGTTTCCTAGGACGATGTAACAAAATACCACAAACTTGATGGCTAAAAACAGAGAAATTTATCCTCTTACAGTTCTGGAGGCCGAGAGTTCTGAAATCAAGGTACGGCAGGACCACACTCCCTCCCAAGGCTGTAGGGAGAATCTTTCCTCATCCCTTCCAGTTTCTAGTAGCTCCATGTGTCCCCTGGTGTGGCAGGGTAACTCCAATCTCTGCCTCCATCTTCCCATGGCCTTCTCCCCTCCCTTTTTTCTCCTCTGTGTGTCTCTTATGGGACACTTGTCATTGGATTTAGAGCCCACCCGGATAATCCAGGATGACCTTATCTTGAGATTCTTAGTTACACGTGCAAAGACCCATTTTTCAATTGAGATCACATTCCCAAATTCTGAGGTTTAGCACTTGGATGTATCTTTTGGGGGGGCTATGATTTAACCCCTAGGGAAGACAAGCAATGTGTGTCCCTCATAACTTTCTAATTATTCTTTTTCTAATCTCATTTTTCTTACCAATCCAAAAATTTCCAACCATTTGGCATATCCTTACAGAAACCTAACAAAGTTTTCAAAGGCCCAGTATCACTTATGGACTCAAACGCAAACACTGGTTCTGTTTCACAAAGCCGTCTTATTTAGCTTCCCCTATCTGTTTAATCTTGTCTTCCATTATCCCCCAACAAGCCGTCAGGCGAGTCTCCTCACCGCTCAGCAGATGCCCTGTTTATTCCTGTCTCTAGCCGTGCTCTTGCCTATCCAAATTCTGGGTATCTGCTTGGGTGCCACTTCCTTTATGAGTCTTTTCCCAATTCATACTGACTTCTCTTTTGCCGGAACTCTTGGAATTTAAACTCAGTTCCTATAACATTAAATCTGATATTTTTATGGTATCCCAGTCTTAATTACTATAATCTGGAAAGTGGGCTCTGAATCACTGACTAGCAGCATTTGTTTTTAAAGACAACTTTAAATTTTTTGGGTGACTGATATCTCTAGGGATACAAGAAGGTCGCTGGTGATGGACAGATAAATCATCACTGTGGTAGGAAGAACTCTAGATGGACTGTGATCTCTGCCCCTGGTACTACTCCTATAATTGTGTTATGTTACATGGCAAAAGTAATTTTTCATTTGTAATTAAGGTTGGTAATCAGGTGTCCTTAAACTAGGGAGCCTATCCAGGTGCACCTGGTCTAATCACCCGAGCCCTTTAAAAGCACAGCATTTTCTTTGGCTGGTCATAGAAGAGGAAGTTAGAGAGATTCTAAGTCTGAGAAGGATTCAGCCCACAATTATTGGCTTTGAAGATGGAGGAAAGTGCTCATCAGCCAAGAAATCCAGGTACTTTCTAGTCACAAAGAAAATGGGATCTCAGTTCTACGTGGCCGAAGAAGGGAATTCTGCCAATAAGCTGAATGCCCTTGGAAGTGGATTCTTCCCCGTAGCCTTCAGGTAAAAGCTCAGCCCAGCTGACACTTGAGTTTATCCTTGTGATACTCCATGCAGCGAATATAGCCAAGCCCACCCACACTTCTGACGTGCGGAACTGTGAGGTAATGAATGGGTGGTAGTTGAAGCGTTTCAGTTTGTGGTAATTTGTTTTGCAGCCATAGAAAATTAATACAATCGGTAACAAAGGATTTGAGCTTGTAGTGAAAATTTACACATTTCCTGCTTTTTTTTTTTTTTGGCTTCAGTTTTATTGAGGTATAATTGGCACACAGCACTATATAAGTTTAAGGTGTACAGCATAATGACTTGACATACATAAATTGCAAAATGATTATTACAGTAAATTTAGATAACGTCCATCACCTCATATAGTTACAAAATTTTTTTGCTTTTCCGTAAGATAAGGACTTTTGGA